GAAAGCAAAAGAAAGAATTTACCACCGTCGACTAGACACGGGAAAAGAAGAAAGAAAGAAAACAGACACGCCAAACGAGGGATGGGACGAGGACAGGGTCCCCACCTGCACGAGCAGGATTTTGGAAGAACGATCAGGGGGACAGGTGGGGCTCTCCTGCTCCTGACAAGGGACACGACAGGCTCGCAGCGCGGTGCGCGGTGGACTCCCACATCCACTGGCGGTCTCATCTCAGTCTAGCGACCTGCCTCCAGCTTGTCGCTGGCAGTCTCTCCTACCACAGGCACACTGACACAGGGGTGGCAGGGGCGGCGGCACGAGTCTCCCACATACTATGCGGGCCTCACTAGAGGTGCGGCCTGTGCGTGTCCTCGCCCTTGAGGGGGGAGGGGAAGGGGCTGTGTGTCTGTGCATGTGTGTGTGTGTGTGTGTGTGTGTGTGTGTGTGTGTGTGTGTGTGTGTGTGTGTGTGTGTGTGTGTGTGTGTGTGTGTGTGTGTGTGTGTGTGTGTGTGTCTGTGTGTGTGTCTGTGTGTGTGTGCGTGTGCGTGTGCGTGTGCGAGCCGCCCTGAACGCCACGAGCGCGCCGCGAGCGCCGTAGCGCCGGCGAGCGCCGTCGGCAGCGCGCCCACCCAAAAGCGGAGGTACATCAGGAGCCGCAGCCGGCCTGCTATCAGCCCCGCAGCCGCGGTGGCGCGACCGGACCGCGGTCGCTCCAGGCGCCTTTTGGCCCCGGTTCGAATCGCGGTTGGCGCGCGCCCTCGCGGAGCGACGCGTGGCGCGCGACGCGCGCGCGTGCGCGTGCGCGCCCAGCCGAGCCCTAGGCCGTCTGCCGTCTGCCGTCGGCCGTCGGCCGTCGGCCGTCGGCGACTAGACACGGGTGCAACAATCAAAGCTCGAATGCATTTCTTTGATTTGCGCCCTGAGTGCGCTGCCCTGGCCTTGGCGGATCATGGCGACAAACAGCGGGAGCAAGCTACTCCCCCTCCTCGTCGGAGGCGGCGCGGGCGCCGCGGTCACGAGCAGTGACAGTTCCTGGCTTCGAGAACTGATGCCCGACTTCGCCGCGCGCCTCTTCTCGGCGCTATCACCGGCTGGAGCGCCACCGCGCGACACAACGGCTCTCTCCGCGTCAGTGGCGGCGACAGAGGCGGCCGTCGCCTCGCTTAATCAGGCCGTGCGCGCCCAGAGTGGGCAGGGCGCGCGCACATTTCTGACGATCGCCACGGTTGCGGTTGCCGGCGGCAGCATGGCCGTGTGGCGGTTTGGTTGGGATCGCGTGGGCTGGGCGTCGCTGCACGAGCTGCGCAAGGGGCTGGGCAACCTCAAGGCGTCAGTCGAGGGGATGATCTCGCAGCTGCGTACCGAGCTCTGCGAGCAGCTACTCGGCGTTCAGCAGGGGCTTGACGAGGCGAACGCAGCTGTCGGCAAAGTTCGCGGCGCTGTGGGTGACGTCAAGGAGGAGCTGAGGGCTGCTGCCGCAGCGGTGGCGGCGATGGAGCAGCGAATGCTGCGCGTCGAGGCAGCGACGAGGCGGTCGGCCGACGGTGTCGAGCTTCTCGTCCACCTCGTCTCCACCACCTCCCTCTCATCGGGGGCCTCGCCAGAGCTGGCAGCCAGCCTGCTTCAGTGGGGGGAGGAG